GCCCATTCTCACCAGAGCCAGCCCTTTGGGCTTTGGGAGCTAGTCCTGGGAGTCACTCTGTTTTGATTCCTTGGGTGAGGCCTCATTGGCAACTCGGTTATTGGCTCCAATAGAAAGGTCAAGGGGCAAAGGCTGATTAAGGTAGCATTGGAAATCCCAGACTGGCGGTTTCCTAACAAAGATGCTAAGTCATAGCTGGGTCAGAGTTCTCCTCTCACAGCTCCCGGCAGGCCCACACCTGCCAGCATGTGCCAGGCAGGCTGGGAGAACTCCAGACAGGCACCAGCTTTGCCCACTCACCTCTGCAGGGTGACTCACCAGGGTAAACGTAAGCTTTGCCCCACAGGCCCTGATCCTGGGTGTAGCCATCTTTTCCCTCTTCTCCAGCAGGATTTGTTCTCTTTTCCTCTCTCTAGACTCTCACACCATCCAAACCCATCTGTCCTTCAAAGTCCAGAGCCTAGATTCTGTCTTGGAGCACCTTGGAGGTGAGGGAGCTGGTTTACCACCCGCTCAGGCCAGAAAACTTTTTTTTCCCAGGAACCTTGTATGTGGCTCCTAGCCCGTTACACACATTTCCAGGGACGGGAATCTTCCCTCCACATCAGCCATCTTCCCCTCCCTTCAAGCCCTCCTTGGGCTTCCCAGACTGGCCCCTATGACTGCGGCACCTTAATCTCACTGTTTGTTCCTTCATGTCAGCCCCGTGCCCACCAGAAGTGGTAAGCAGCTGGTCCGACCCTTCTTTTGGATCCCAGGGCAGATCATCACAGTGGGGCACAGAAGAGCTCTGGGTGCTTACCCACTTGAGTCTTGCAGGGTCTTGAGGTTTGGGAAATAACCACCATGCTTTTCTGCCCTCTGTTAGTCTGGCTATTAGTTTAGAGAGCCTCAGAGAGCCCACCTCCCTCCGCCCCAACTCCTGTTTACACAGTGAACAACTATGGAGAACTTACTGTACGGGAGATACTCTGTGCAATGCCAGGGCCCCTCATTTCTCCCCCACAAGATGTTACACTTTCATCTCTTTTTTTACCACTCAGGTCTTGAGCAAGAATTTATTGTCAGTTTCTACCCCTGAAGTGAAGGGGATGGGGTGGCAAGGATGGAAGAAGCCTCTGCAAATTAGGAATCATCTGGGTGCATTATAGCTGTCAGCTTTCCTGAGCTTTGAGAAGAGGGAAGGAAGTGGCATTTGTGGTTTGTGGAAACTCTGAAGACCCTGGGGGTGGGGATGCTTATAGGAAGTGGGCACCAGAAGGTAAAGCATGAGCTCATCTGCCATCCAGAGCCCCAACCCCACCTGGATTTGTCTCCAAGGGAAGTCAGGGCCTCCCCTCCTGCCGTTTGAGAGCACACGATACCCATCGAAGCAGGAGCGAGAAACAACCAATTTGGCCAATACAAAGACAACAACGTGCCGGGCACCAGGAACCAACATGAGCAAAGCGGCCCTGGCCCCAGCCAGCCCTTCCACAGCCCTGCTGGCAAAGTTGGGCGCACTGGCCCTGCTACCCTTCCCCCTTCGTTCCTTAAGTTTTCCAGGAGCACCTGACGTCTACGGAGAGCCCAGAGGCAATGCCAGGCAGCAACTCTGCTGGGAAAGGAGAGACACCTGGAGAAAAGTGCATTATCAAGTCCAGGTGTATGGTGCAGAAGCAACCCAGAGACAAATGGGGAGGGCCAGTGGCGGCAGCTCAGGAGGTGACAAGCAGAGGAAGGAGATGGAGAGCGAGTGGGCAGTTTCTTTCCTCTTCTTTCTCTTTCATGCCCCTTGAGAAACTCCATCTGTTGATCCCCTGCTCCCTGAACCACATTCCTATACCCTGACCTCTGACTCTCAGCCAACCACCCTCACAGCGCACTGCATGGGAACCTCTGAAGCGTCTGCCAAGTAATGATCACAATAGCCACCACTTATTGAGAACTCACCGTGTGCCAGACACTGTGCCTATGACCTTTATATAGTTCATTTATTCATATACAACTTTGAAGCATGTAGTATTTCCTTTAATTGACAGGCAGTAGGAACTCAAGAAAGTTGTTCTAGTGCCTCAGGACCGAGTGAGCCAATAGCCAGCCAGCTTTCCTGGGGGCAGCTGCCAGCCTCCTCCTTGGTTGCAAACCCAGGGATGCCAATGACCTCACACCAGGTTTTCTTGTGCTCCTGAGAACTAGCCTTGTTCATTCTGACTTTATGCCTAATGTGCTATTCCCCTTCTTTCCATTTAATAGGTAATAATTAGAGTACAAACTCTATGCCAACTCTGTATTCAGAGGCATTATTATCCCTATTTTATTGATGAGAAAACTAAGCCTCAGACCAATCAGATATCGTGCTCAGGGCCGCACAGCTAGTAAGAAACAGAGCTGAGAAAAACTGCAAAGGCTACGCTCTTAACCACTATGCTAGAGGCCTCCAAAAACAGTTACATTCAGAGGGACTGGGGGTTAAAAACAATGAATTTTAGAAACAACCTTTTAGAAATGAAGTTCCTTAAAGAAGTTTTTGAAAATGCCAGCCTCTTTCTGCTACAATAAAGAGAATTTAGGAAGTAGGGTGCGGTTTCACAGGATGAACAGGACAGGCAGCAGGGGCGACAGTGAGAAAATCTGAAACTGTCAGATTCTGACTGCTCAGCCAGCAACATCCTCTCAGTCAAAACCTCACTGGGTTTTGTGACCTGTTTTCATTACTAAGCATCATTCTCTCTCGTTTATTTATGTAGTTATTTTTTCATTTTTTATTAAGGAATAGTTTTTACATATCATAAAATTCACCTTTCATTGTAGAGTTCTGTGAGTTTTGACAAAAGTATACAGTCATGTAAAAACCACCACAATCAGGATCTAGATAAATTCCCTCGCCGCCCCCCCAGAACTCCCCTGTGTTCTTCTATAGTTGCTCCCCCTCCAAGCCTGTGGCAGCCAATGATCTGTTTTCTAACCCCATAGTCTTGCCTTTGCAAGGAGCATCATTCTCTCTTAATTTGCCAACAGTGCTGACAGATCTTAAAAACCAAAGAATATAGAAGCAGCAAATTAGAATTGGGGGAACTGGAGTGGAGAGAAGCTACCCTGACTGCAAGAAGTTCTTGAGAGACTTGCAAAAAGTTAGTTAGGAGATGCAAAGAATTTGGGGCTGATTGGTATAAACCCCGCCCCGTGTAACAGAGTCAGTAGTTCTACAGTGTTTAGGATAAAATCTCAACTCCTCACCCAGGCTCCTCAAGCCTCCTGGCCATCACCCTGCACTCTTCGTCCCTCACCCATGATTCACCAGCTACATCAAGCTCCTTCCGACTCGGGATGCTTGCAATAGATGTCCCCTGCATCCAGAATGCTCTTCCCCTCTTGTCATGTCTGGTCCCCTTTTGACTTTCAGGCATTGGCTTAGATATCAACTTATCAGATGACCCAATCTCAATAGCCACCCAGTCATTCGCCCTCAGTATGCCATTTAATCTTCTGCACAGCACCTGACACCACCTGAAGTTTTTCTTGTTCACATACTTATTTCATTTGTAGAGCACCCGTGAGTACCAGGCACTGTTTTAGGTACCAAGGCAAGAGCATGAATAAAACAACTCACTGTACTTGTGGAGATTACTTTCCAGGGACAGGAATCAGTCCAGCACAAACAAATAATTATAGAATGTTTCAGGTTGCGATATGTGCTGTGGAGAAATAGGAGCAGGCCCAGAAAAGTACCCAGGACATTGGGCTGAAGAAGAAGAATACAACTGTGGTAAGAGCTGAGCTTAGAGAGGGTGCATATCATGTAGAACTTTGCTGGCTAGTGAAAGACCTTGGGAAACTACAAAGGAGTTTAAAAAGTGGAGTGACATTATCTGACCTTTTATAAAAGAAAGAATATAGGTAGCCAAGGTAGAAGTGAGGGGACCTGTTAGGAGGCTACTGCAACAATGGAGGGAGGTAGTCCTGCAAGGGGTGAGCCAATTGGGGATGCGGAGTAGCGAGGGTGCAGGTACACTGCCTACCTGGGAGTGCAGCCACTTGGGAAAGCTGGCAGTTCCTAATAAAGTTAAACATTCCCCAACCCTATGACCTAGCAGTTCCACTCCTAGGTATTGCACCCAAGATAAGTGAAAAAAAATTGCAGGAGAATGTGCAAGACAGCATTATTGTATCTGCCTTTTTGGGGGGTTGCGTGGATTGGTGAGAAGATGTGCACTTAACAGAGATCCGGAGCACAGTAGCGCTGCCCATAGCCACAGCTTTCCTTCACAACACAGGGCCATGTTTGTAATGACCCTGAGGCATGAAAAAAATGAAATGCTATTCGGAGTCCTGTTTAAGAGGGCAGAGAAGTATGTCATCCATTCAAAGTTGAGCAATCAGAAGTGGTGAGAGTAAGAGGGGAGTTGAGTTGTGTCGAGATTGAAAGAATTACTAGTTTATCTGCACTGGTGAGAAGTTAAACTCATCCTGACAGAATGTGCAGTAAGGGCCAGGGAACAGCTTCTTGGCAAGCAAGATTTGGCCTGGCTGGACCACATACAGTACTAGAAAGACATTTATGATTCTAGAAATGTACCTATGGGACTAAAGAATGGATGCCTGAAATATTTATAGCTTACCATAGGCCTCTACTGCCCAAATGAGGAGTATTTGTCCAGGTGGAGCCCACAGCTCTCCTGCCCCTCCAACTCCTTTCACTCTTCCTTTGCAAAACAGAATGTTGAGCTGGGATCACTGACAGGTCATTTGTTCTCTGATCTCAGATATCCTGAGTGTTGTCCCCCTCATAGCAACTGTCATGGGAGGAAATATATTTATTGGAATGAACCTGTTCTTGGTCAAAATTTCTAGACTGTCCCCTTCGATACCTTTTTCAGAGCCAGTTTAAGCTGCACATAACATCCAGAAATTTCATTTAAAGTTAGGTGTGGGATAAAGGTGGGCTCTCTTGAAGTGGAAATTGGTATGCTCCATCCTTTCTTCGTAGGATTGTGAAATTAATCCCTTTCTCTTTCTTCCATTCCTCTCTCTCTCTCTTTTGCTTTGGCTGCCAGGTATTTCAGAGACATTTATTTTAAAATATTTAAATCTATTTAAAACATTTGCTATTTATACTGTAATTACTTGGATATGTAACTGATAGAATCAACTTGAAATATAGATAACATTGCCTAAATTTAACTATTCCGTTATACGATTTTTATTATAATAGTTTTATCATTGTAAAACAAGTGCCACAGTCAGACATTTAAGAAAAAAGAAAATACAAAAAAGTAGAAAGTAGGAAATCACTATGATTTTTATTATTTTAACGTTAACCATGTGATGATTTTTGGTTATAGTTCCTTCCAGTCTTTTTCTTTCCTTTTTTTTTTTTTTTTTTTTAGTTCAATTTCTATTTCTATGTTCATGTGTAGCAACTTCCTTGGTCCTATTTGCTTCCTCATCCTTTCCCGAACCTCGCTCTCCTGTTTCTGTTTCTCTTTCGTTGGCGCCACACGTGTTTCTCCTTTGGCGGGTGTCACGCGGTAGTCGTGCGGATATCTGGGCACAAGCGCTGGTGAGGGGCTTCATCGGGTCATTACTTCTTGTTCCGTGAGGACTGGGAATTGCCATCCTGAGGTTTCTCCAAATCCTCGGGAGGATTCTGAAAGCAGTTCCACGCGAGAAACATTGGGAACTATTCCTGCGTCGCTGGATTAAGTGGTCAACCTTCCCAGACGGCTCCCCTGATAAGGACCACGATCTGAGGGTGTGCTGTCGGTAGGGCCCAGGTTGCGTCCACAGTCCCTTTCGCGGCTCCAGGCGCCCCAGCTT